CTGCTGAAACGGGGAGAACCGGCTTTCAAGATGATTTTGGCTTTTTGCCATGCCAAGCTGAATTAGGCTGCTAGATGACAGGCATACCCCAGAGAAACCAAAGATAAATGCCAATTTTAATAGGGTTGTTTGTTTATCCTTTTCTCTCCAGTTAATAAGTATGAATGAGCCCCAGATTCAGTCCAAGGATCATGTCAAAGGCAGGAAGTTAGGAAAAAAAAAGAAGAGTTTGGGAGTTAGTCCATGATTTACTACTGAAGTTTTGTTAAGACCAAAGATTAAAAATAACTTGGTAAATTACTATCATTTCCTCATGATAAAAGCACAAAACACTTTTGCATGAGACATAAGTACATACCAGTGCAGGTGTATAAATATATCGTTACGTGTAAGGTTTTCAGAATTGGTGTTCAGAAGTGTTTATCAACTATATTTATTTTTTAAGAGTATAAACAGGAAATAATTGTCACAGTTGAAAACAGAATTGGCTTGAGGAGTCAGATACTTGATATTTTGATGTAGTCTACCCCAAAGGGTAGGTTATCATCACTAAGGCCAGTTTTTAGAAATCAACCTCACAGCAACTAAAGAGTAAGCATTTTTAATGTCCTCACAATTGTGCCAGAGAGTATAAACTAAATGAGATTTTGAGCGTTTTTGGTCGCTGATACTTTTTCCTAACAGCGTTTGCCAAATAGATTTTTGATTGTATTGAAGGTTGTGGATTCTCATTTGAAAATAAACAAACAAATCCTGCCAAAAATTAATGCCAATCAATAGTTCGATTTATTTTGGAGCTCTTAGGAATTTTATTATGTTATTTTTCTATGAGCGGCTAAGGCAAGTATTCACTTTCTTGAATTGTAGAAAATTTTTAATATTATACTTATGCACCATTGAATTGTTTTTATTTTAATTGTTTTACTGTGCGTACCGTGGCCTTTGGGTTTGTTACGTTTTTCACCTAGATGTTATTCATCTTTTCTGAAGGCGACTTTTAAATGACATCAGATCTCACCTTGACCTTTTGACTTAGGACTGCGTTTATTTAATCGGATAAGTTGATTGTATTTTGGTTTAAAAAAATTTAATGTTACTTTGTTATTGGGAAAATAATCCTTCGCAATGATGTATATGTTTCAGGGTGATGAAAGGCCATTGACACAGTTGTCAAAGCAACAGTAACGAATGTAGCAAGCAAACATTCATTCCCTAGAAATGTTTGGCATAATTGCTGACATGGTACTAGTTAGTACATAGTCTTTTGGTGGTCTTTGCAAAGGCTTGAGGGTTTACGTCATCACAGGGAGGTTAAAAATGAGGCTTTCAATAATACACATAAGCAAGGATGAAATCATTTTCCCACATGATGCGTATGGGAAACCATACCTATGTGAAATTACGTAATAAGTGTTCTTTTTAGGGTGTTTTGCCCTGGATTGAATTATTCTGAAAACGATGCAAACTTATCAAAAGAACCACATTCCTTTGCCTCCTCTTTAAAAATCCGTGTTCAAAACGTCTTCCATACCATACCCAGTAGTGTTTTCATACTTGCCCCTTTGTGAGACATTATTAGTAAACAGTGTACTTGCCAGAGGGACACAGAAATGCTAGTGCAGCAGGTGTCGCTGAAAGCAGGAAAGCATAGGCCACGGGGGTGGGGGGGGGGGTTAGTACCAGCTCAGGGCTGCGGGGACTTCCCACTCCCAGCTGCTGAGTTCTCCCCATTTGGGTCCTTCCTGTAGGTTTTGACACCGTGGACCACAGTGTGGTCCCCCTCTTGACCCTTTTATTTCTGGCTCCTTTTTTCTGGCTCTTCCACTCAGTCTGACCACTCTTTCTGAGAATTTCCTGCTCCCCTCTAACTGCATCTCAGTAGCATCCGCAATCCCAAGTTTATCCTGTCCTCTCTCAAAAGCCGCAGGAGGAAGTAGAGAAAGCTCGAGTTTGGGATTCAGACAGAAGTGGTCTTGTGTTCCAAACGTATGACTTGCCAGTTGTGTGTCGAGGGTCATTAACTTCACCTCTCTGTTGCTTCAGTTTCTGCCTCTGTGTCAAAGCAATAATGATGCTTATAGAATTGGTGCATCACCTGCGTGTCTGGGACACAGTGTAACCTATTACATGTTAGTTCTCTTAGGTCTTCCAGGTAAAAATTATAGTAAAATTAATTTTATTGACCTGTGTCTTTATTGGACTCACTCCCCAATATCTAGCAGTAGCCTCCAGTCAGCTGTGATATAGATTTTCAGCAACAGCTCCCCAGCAACGTGGTGTCGGTGTTTCAGACACAGTGAGGGTACCAAATAGGTGGGGTGAAGATGCCTTTAAAGGGCTTAGTTCGGCAAACTCAAGCACTCTCTAAGTTTCTGTTGATTTTGCCATGTACAGAAATTTGTTTTAGCAGAGCCTTTAAGAAGGTAGGAACAGGCTACCTTTTGAGTAGCGTAACTGTCTTACCAAGATGATTTGGACATAAAGGATTGTGGTGTATTTTGGCCAGAGGACCCAATGATGCTTATCTTCTGCTCTGCCTCTGTGGTACCCAAAGGAGATGCTTGTAGTGAGGACGTTGACAAAGCAAGACGCAATACAAAGGCATGAGAAGCTGCGGCCTTGATCTTGAGTCCCCGTGCAGAGCTCTGTTACTCTAGGCTAGAAGAGGCAACAGGCTCCTTTACCCTAGGTGGGTAATGACCTGGAAGCAACACCCTCCATTAAGCAGGGCTGATTCCTTTAAGCCCAAACCAGTGTCAGACATTAACACTGCAATATGGAGAGGAAGACTAATCAAGGCTCACATCCCATAACAAAAAGAAAGGATTCAGGAGGACAGGTTTCCTTAGTGTCAGGCCTGGCACTGGGCTACCCCACCTGCCTCAGGTCCCGGGCAGGGCCCGAAGCAAGTCGAGCTGCCCTGGGGGAGAGAGATGCAGAAAGATGGAGAGATGGCTAGGTGGAGGGGAGAGAAACTAGACCCCATCCACATGCTGACCTGATCAAGTTTCACCTCTAAAGGTGTACTCATATATTAGGATAATGAAAAGTCACAAAATCATTAATGAAATTAGATTATTTTTATTTTTGCAGTAGCATTGCATGTCTTGACCAAATCAATGTTCCTATCCCTATATCAGTGTTCCATCTGTGTTTTCTGATTCATCTTGGGGGTGGGCTTTGGGAAGAGCCAGGGGTTACCCCTACAAGCCAAGAATCTTGTATGTTGGTGACTGAAACATCCCCAAAGCAGCCTCCCTTTCCAATCTCTATTCTCTTGGGCAGTTACACTACTGACAACTGTTCTTTCCTCTTGCCTAGTACCCGCAGTAGGCCTGCATTGTTCTCAAGTTCAAGTTCAGACTTGTCAGTTGGTTGGTGCTCAAGGCCCTTTGTACTCTGGTAGCGTATGACCTCAGTAACCTCCCCTCTTGGCCATATACCCGGCCTCCCACCATCACTGTGCCTGTAGCTCCATTGCTCTGCTAGTGGGGACATACCACCCACTTGGTCATTGCCGTTCCTTTGTTTCTGCCCTTCCCTCTACTCAGAATGCCCTTTCTACCCACCTGTAAGGTTTAACTCAAGCCTTGTGTCCTGTGGAACGCCTTCCTTGATGCCCCCTTGTAGAATCAGTTGTTCTTTTGTGGTTTCATAGTATACTCTATAAATACTGCATTGTATGGTGGTTGACAGTAGTTCTGGTTTTCCCATCAGTACATGGACTGTGATCCCTTATGCAGGAAACATGTCTTATTTAATTCCTGTTTTCTTATCTGTATTTATCCAGCCTATTGACAGATACATATGAAATGTTCAGTATATTTGGTTGAATTGTTTTTATTGTAGACATAGCTTCAAATCCTTGTAGACTCTTTCCTACACACCTGTAGAGATTTTGTAAGTGGGAACTAAATGACAAGTAAAGAAAACCTCATTTGCCCTAAAATTGGTTTTAATTCCATGGGAGGATCGCTCACCACTCAACATTAGCATTTTGTCCTGATAAAATGTCATTGCAGCAGATCCAGTGAAAATCGATGGAGTGGTTTCACATGTAATTAAGATAAAGCTTTTCGCAACTGAATACAGAAGATATTTTGTAACACGTGCCTAAACGAAAGCATCTGAGATGATGACATATCTTTTTATTTTAGCAATAGAATCATTTTGCAATTGATAGTTGTCTTCATATTTGAGTGCAGCCAGGAATTCCTGAATTGACACTTGTTTCTCTTCTCTGAAAGGTTTCTCAGAGGTTGATAGTATGACTTCTGTTTCCAAAAGCCCAAAGTCCCAAAAGCCACAAATCCTCTTTTAGAAAACCATGGGTGTCCCTGAACTGGTTGTCTCAAAAAAAAAAAAAAGAGACCTAATGTACTCAGCTGTGATTGTTTTCCTCCCGGTCTGTGCTGTCCTTTGCTGGCTATTTCTCAGCTGGAATATTTGCAAAGGAGACATTCAGGCTGAGGAGAGGAGACTTGGAGATGGTCAAGCTCTGGACTGTCCATAGCTGGCCCTTTGTCACAGCCCAGGTGGGTCTTCTCTGCTCTAGGCTGCACCCATCATTTCTTTGTGACCCTCATTGAAAACTTGGGGCCTTTCAAACAGAGAAGATTTCCTACTCTACTAAATAAAATACTTCAATAATAATAATAATAGTCACACAATATGGAAGTATTTTAGCCACGCTATACACATGCATTACCAAAAAACCCTCTATTTCCATAAACTGAAAAAAGGCACCAGGCGTGACTCTTTCGATTGGGATCCATTAATGGGATGGTCACCAGAGTTTTAGTCACTTCTCTGCTGTCACTTTTGATTGAAACCAGCAGAGATGTGTTTTGGCAAATCTATTCATAATTTGTCTTTCCTTGTAGGGCTCCCCCTGTAATTGAGTTTCCCATCAGGGAGTCAGTTGGAGTTAATGTATGGACAATCTGCTGTGATTGACGACGAATGTCTTGTTAACATTCTCCCCTCTCTTCAACCCACAGAGCAATGCCAAGACTTTTGGTTTAAAGAAGTCAAAGGAAGAACAATCTCTTCAGATAAGAAGATCTTCTTTAAAGGTAGGAGCTTATCTTCTTAAAAGGTTTAAATTAGTAATTGGTTCAAGAAGGGAATTATACCATAAAATGATGTGTTTATGTAATAGTATCGCCATGTTTAATACTGTCCATCCAGAGAGTATGATGAAAGACAGCGAGTAGGGATAATGGTCGCAGAAACATGAATCATACTGCATGTCAGAGAGGATGGATCAAATACACAGGGAAGAAAACCAGCTCTTCACGTCCTTTCGTAGTAATAAGATTTTTGTTTTTCTAAGTCATGAATTGTACAAAGTTCAGAAAATAGACAGAAGAATAAAAGCATTGCTAGTAAACAGTAGGTTTCTGATGGAATTAAAGATTTAAAACGGTAAGGAATTATTTGTAAGAAGGTTTTCTTTTTGATTCAATCATCTATCAAAAATCTCCTGAGAAACATATTGTCCAAGTAATACAAAAGTCTGTTTGGAAAGTTTCAGTGTTACTTTGATACAGGCTTTCTGCTTTGTAAATCTCTTTCCCACCCTAGTCCAATTTATATCATTTGAATTATCAGCTCTAGAACAGACTCTGCCAGGCCAATGATGCCTTCTCAAAGGCCATTGAACTTGATGAAAAATATCTAACTTGACGATCTGGAACACAGTTCAGACAACTGTATCTCACCCAATAATAGCTTCCTTAAGGAATTTATGAAAGCGTGATTGTTCAGCCGTTAGGTCTCTTATCTCATACGTTTTATTTAACAAGTAAAGTCCCATGGAATTTAATTAAGAAAAGAAGATTGTATGCAAGATTTTGAGGTAGTAAAATCTTGCAAGATGTTGTCCCTTGTCCTTGAGAAGTCTGAAATTGATCCATCCATATGTTATTTTGTATTTTTCATGCCTCAGTTGAATTTGCCTCCGTTATGTTGTACTGAAACTAAATGTATATGGCTAACTCATTGTGATGTTTCAAAATCGCGCCAGAAATCCCCAGAACAGTAGCCTGGAAACTAAGGAGGCTGCTTTGTGAATCAAATAGCACACGTTTTGTTCTGCTTGGAGAGTTCTCAAAGTGAAAATGAGTAAAGATTAGCAACATTGCTGAGTTAGATAATTTTGACCAATACCGAAAGAGCCTGAATGTTGTATGAATGGCTCTTTTAATTGAAAGCTCCCTCGTCAACGGAAAATGACTGATAAAGTTTTGATATACCTAGACATACCTCCTCCAACAAGTGTCCGTATTTCATAAAATAAATACACCTGCAAGGTAAGACAATGTGAGAGACCCCTCCATTCTAGCAGGGACGTGGAAGTTTGCCTACACTGAAGCACAGTTGTTAGGGACTAAGAATTAGTAGTAACAGTGGTGTGAGCACACACTTTCCACATCCTTGGACAGCAATACCATAGAAGTGAGTACCGCTTCCGCAAGACTCTTAGGCAAGCAAAGCTTTTTACTAAAAGAGAGAGTTTGTGCACAAGAAAGAAGGCCGGCTCCCTGAGTAGAAGGGGCAAGTTGCTTTTATAACAATAGAGAGGGCTGGTTTCATGATCACTGATAATTTCCAGAAATTGTCAGACTTCTTGATTGGCAGCAGGTGGCTCCATGGTGGCTGGCAGGAATAAGGAGTACTTCTTTGAGGGGAAAGGAGTGCGGCAGAATTTTCTGCAAGAAAGTACCGGAATGGATAAGGATAAAATTTATAGTTGAGTCTCGTTGCAACTAGGTATACTCGTGAGTGTGACAGAGATAAGGTTCATCTTTTATTCCTGCCAGCCTGGTTTTTGTCTATGGGACTCAGGCCCCCAGGACCTTTGTTCTTTAGCTTCCAAGGCCTATTTTGCTCAAAGCCGTTCCCTGGTCCTTTTCCAAAATGGCTGTACTCTTGTCTTCCTGTCTCAGTGGTAAGTAAAGTGGCCTACCCGTAAAACAGCAGCACCAGCAGTAAGTGATAGCAGATTCTTCTGTAGATAGCGTATTGTGTGATACTCAGGAGAGGTAGGAAGACCAAAAGACCAGGAGCTTATTTGTAAATGGTGGTTTCTAGTGAAAGGGGGAATATACACAAAGACAAGGCAAGCACAGGGGCCACTGGGAAGGTGTGCATGGTGCCCTTGTAAGGTGGCAGCAGTGGGGCTCCATAAGGTGATTCCTCAGGGAGTTTTCCTGGCTGGTTGCATTATTTTGTCATCCATTCACTGCATGAGAGTTCTTTGACTTCAGATCTCTGTCTTCTAGGGCAACAAGTGAAAAAGTTCAATTCTGCCTTTCTCGGTACATTCTTCTCAGTTATCTTCTCGGCTGCACTTTCGTCAGACGACTACAGTGAACTTTTAGTCGTTAGGCTCTAGTAGAACCACAAAAATATCTCATTTTATCTTCATGGAGGATTTCATCTGGCGGAAACTAAACACTGACTGCCTTCCTGTGTCTCTCCCTTGCCTCACAAAGACTCCCTGGAACTTCCTGAAACTCTAAAGCACACTTGTATTCAGAACGTCCTCGGGCTATTCAAGAATTCGGCCTCTGACATTAGAATAGAAAGCGTTTTGGAAACTACTTAGAGTTTTCAGTAGGCTTTTCCATGTTCGCTAGCAGGCTGTGGTATCCGAAAGATGTGGGCAGCCAGAGCCATGGTTTGTGAAGCCTCACCACACCCCACATCCCTCTGTCTGGAAAGTGCTACCCCTCCCCATGTCCAGTTGCATGTGAAAACTGCGTTCGCGTTCACCAGCAGCACTAATGTGTAAGTTCTCTCCAAGGAAAATCTGCCTTCTACCTGACTTGAAAACCTTGAGCTGAAATGTAGGGACAGTTAATGGTGGAATTGTTATAAGCAACCCGAGTTGCAGGGGGCACCCCCCAAAATCACTCTGAATACTGGTTTTCTGCTCTCGCTACGTTTGTGAATACTGGTTTTCTGCTCTCGCTACGTTTGTGTAAGTTGGGTCCTGGTTGTAACCGTGATGAGGCTGAAGAAGCATCATGCTCGTGCTGTACCTTAAAGCATGTTCCCATTAGGCAAGGTGTAGAAGAGGGAAAATCTGGCAGGTTATTGGAGTTACTTAATGATTGTTTTTGGTTGATGATTTCAAAGTTGTTCTTTCCCTTGGACTCGTGGTACTAACTTTTTAAAATGATGCAGATGTCTTAGGAGACTGGTAGTTCTATTCTGAGTAGATAACAGTAAAACTGATAACAGTGAAAAGACTTTCTCTTATGACTAAGTTGATTTGTAAATGTGAATCAATATTTAAACAGTAGTCCAGCTGGGACTACTGTTTTGGATACTATTTGACAGTATAGAGATCTATCAAAATTTTGTCCTACAGGATCATTTTAAGGCTGATAAGTTTCATTTCATGTTTACTCGACACCAGACAAACCTAGGAGACAAATGTCATCCACAAAAGGAATACTTGCCTACGGAACTAGAGATGAAAAGCTCATTAATAAAAGCAATTACCCTGAATAAATAAATAAAAGCAATTACCCTGGGAAGCCCAGAACTTCCAAAAACCAAGACAGGGACATAAATCTAAGCAAAGGGTTTTATACCAGTTAAAATTGGGGTATTGAATCAACTAGAAAACCGGAACAATCTTTTCTGATACTTACTAACTTCCTCCGTCTTCCCCTGACCTATGATGAGGGCAAGCTCTAGCTTTCCACTCAGTGACAGCATCTCCTGAAATACTACTGAGCTTGGACAGTCCCTCCCCTGTGGTCCCGGCAAACTTCTTCATGGAATGACAGCTCACTACCAAGGAGCAGCATTCCTGGAAGCCGAATGAGAGGGGATGTAGGTTCTTTCCTTCCATCCCGGGGTACTGCTCAGTTTTCCATTTCTGTATGGAGTCTGAGTAACACCCTGTGACCTGGAGTCAGATGGAAGCATGTGAAATCCCATGGACAGTGTTTCTGTAGGGAGGTTGAGTTATAATACACTTCCTGATCTTTATCGCTGAGTCATTACGGCATCCATGATTGAGATGCCTCTGTTGATCAAGTCCCTTCTGCCCCTTGCATCCTGTCCTCGTGATTCTTATGAGACACAACCATTTTCCTCTGGAAATCTGCCCTGTCTGCCTCCCACTGCTGCGGGCTGCTCAGTTTGGTAGTTGTCTCCAGAAGAGCTGTGGAAAGGCGTCTGAAGAAAGACATCAGCATCCTCTGTTGGGAGATAGTGGGAGTGGGTGAGAGAGTGATGGGAAGGGTGGCATTGTGTCCTGTGGCAGTAGCAATCAGTGCTGGTAGTCAGTAGAAGGAATTCTGCAACTTGCATGCATCCCTCCCCTCTCCTCCCACTGTGGTCCAGTGGGGAGAAATATCTGTTTTGGGACTAGAAGGAGAACATTGCCTGAGTCACCCCAGTACTGGAAATGTGTAGCGACTTAGCATTTATACACCAAAGGGCTGATGGGATTATCTTTACAACAGATACTTACTGGATCAGATTTGTTTTCCCTGCTGCACTTTTGGCTTGCAGGTTTTAAATGGTTTCTAGGTCATCAGAATTAGAACTGGTGACAAGATAAGGCTGGATCAGGGGAACACGAACTTTAATGTGGGGGGCTCACTGAAGGGCTGGAATTGTACCACCAGAGAGGGGAGCCACTGCCCTGTGACCTTGGCTCCCAGCAGTAAAACCGCTACTGAAATAACTCTGCCCCTGGGAGCACATTTCTTCAAAATGATCATAGTAAAGGGCATCCCTTATTCATTCTGAATTATGATATTTACGTTCAGCATTCTCATTATCAAATCAATATTTTGCTCCCCCTAACCTACTGAGTGAGATGCTCTGAGTGTTAACAGTACTGGAAAGCCTTAAATGCTCAGGTCCACAGAACTCTGAACACACAAAGGTAGGTTTGTGTGCCCAGGTTCTGAGGGTGCTTTATCAGATCCCTTCCTCCCAGCATCTGGACATTTCGTCCGGGGCTGCTTCTGGAGGGAGCCAAATCCTGGCAGGACCGTTATCTAGGGAACTACCCAGGAGGAAAATGAAGCCCAGTGTGGATCAG